TTACGAGTTAAGAGTGTGAACGGGATTTGTAAGTTCCTTGATATCAGGATGTATCCCTAAAGCAGCAATGGCGTATATGAGGCACTTAAGTATTTATTTAATGAATTATCTCATATATTACATTGTATCATGTCTGAATTTTAATCACCATTTACTTAGTAGATTTTAAAAAAGGGCTCAAATCTATATAAAGAACAAAGAGGTGGAATTAAGGATCCCAGGAAATAATAGTTTAAAAAGGTGAGCAAATGCTGAAATTCTTATTCGCATTAACTTCCTAAGAACCTCTGATTGTTTGACTTACAGTGTTCTTAACCTATACAAAAAATCTTTAAGTGATTTATTCTCTTGTCTGAGTTTATTCTTTTTTTAAATTATTTATTTATTTATCTTTAGAAGGGAAGGAAAGGAGAAAAGGAGAGGAATATCAATGTATGGTTGCTTCTGGTGCATCCCCTGCTGGGAACTGGCCCCTGCTGGGAACTGGCCTGCAACTCAGGCATGTGCCTTGACAGGGAATTGAACCGTAATCTTTTGGTTCACAGGCCCGTGCTCAATCCACTGAGCTACACCAGCCAGGGCTTTGAGTTTATTCTTAATCACTTAAAATTAAAAATAATTTCAGATGGACTTTTTAAAAAGTCTGCTCATCCAAACCTCCCTTTAGCTATCAAATACTATTGAAATGTCTCTTTACTTCTCACAATACCCTCAATCCCAACATCTGTAAGTGGTTACCATATTTTGCTGTGTATAATGTGCACTTTTTTTGCCCAAATTTTTTAGGGAAAAGTAAGGATGCACATTATACATGGATAGCACTAAAACATGGGTGCACATTATACATGGAAATGTATAATACACAGCAAATACGGTAACTTTATGAAACATATTTCCCCCTGAAATTGTGAGAAGAGTTAGGCTCTCTAGCCTTATTCTGTTTAATTACAGTTATCAAAATTCAAGTGTGTATGCCCTTTGACCCAGGCATTTTACTTCTATGAAACTGAACCAACATTTGTATTCACACAGGAAGCGAGACACATGCACAAGGGCGTTCACTGCAACACTCGTAACGGCAAAGACCCAGACCAGCTGGGACACCTGACAACCAGGCAGCACTGACTCATCATGTTATGGTTTGTTACTCCTCAGTGGACCCACGTGTCCATCTGGAAATGGCTTCTGGAGTAAGAGGAAAAATTCAACTTCAGAACAGTAGGTGTACAACAACATATCTGTGTGTGGGGAAATAAAGGCTATTAAAAAGATATACACCTTATAAATATATGTTTTTATATGTTGGCATATACCCAGAAATTTCTGAAAAGATGTATCAAAAACTGTTTAATAACAGTTATCTTTGGGAAGTGAGGCTGGATGTGGGGTACCAAGAAATTTACTTTTAGTTTTTTCTGTTCCACACTATTAAATTCAGCTTGTCATACCAACATATCATTTTTTGTGTGTAATTAATAGTAAGCTAAAGCAAGAAGAAAGCATCCTGCACGATGTCCTCTCACCCTTCTTGGGCAGCTAGAACACGTGGATTGTTGCTCTTTAACGAATTCACAATGTATTTCGACTACTTGATAGAATACACAACTTCAATTAACAGTTACTCAGCTTCTGACAAAAGCCTATTTGAATTAATTGATATTTGAGAAAATTCGGTAGTCAGCCTAATCTTTGTTCCTCTGCAGAGTTTCTCTATGAGAGAAGGGAAGGGAAGGAGAAAGGGGAAAATATTGATCCCGCCCACCAGGGCTTAAGCTCTATCTTAATAATAAGAAAAATATAATCCCACAACTACATTAGTCATCACAGAATGTCTTGATTCAATTGCATTTTAATATTATGTCATCAGTTTTTATAAAGTACATTAGGAATGCTTTTGCATCTTCTGTAACATCAATGTTTGAAGATATTTATCATTATGTATTAGGTTGAACCATACAAAATTGTCAGTATTCAGCTGGTTTTGACTTTCAAAAAAGCAATTTCATATGGTTCACCTAATAGTTCAATGTTTTTAAAAATAACGAACTAGCAAATTAAATCATCTGAGAATTAGCAGTAGGGAAAATTTTTTGTTTCGTATGTCAAAGTAACATGTTCTCTCAACTCAAAAACATAAAAATGACACTGAGCAGGATGCTCCCTTTTTGCTTTAGCTGCCAGGAAGCTCAGTGGTGAATGTAGCACTCAGCTATTACAATTTTCTTAGCTTAGGTTTCATTATAATTATCTGCATGATTCCTCTTGTTTGACCTTTCCTACTTTTATTAATCCAAATGTACTCACATATGTTTTTCTGAAAGTATTTTATATACATGTATGTAACTGGTTATTTACAGTACTGTGTTGAGAAGGATCCTCCCGAACTCAGCAGGTAAAATCACTGAGGTCAACTGGGGCCATTCCATGTACATACTGGAAGGGGAAAGCCAGCAATGCCTCACATTTGCAGTCCTATTCCGTGGGCCAGAGCGCTCCAGTTCTGCACTGATGAGGCATTTAAAACTAAATTATGAAAGCCGATCTGCAAAAGGTGAAATCTGAACTAAGTTTAAAATGAGAGAGGCATTAATTGACAGAAAGGGTAAAGGTATTCCTGCCAGAACCAATAAAATATGAAACAGACAATGACATGCAGAAAAACAAATTTCATGATGTTTATATATATGAATATTTGAATACAGATTAGCTTGGTTTAAGGATAGAACCCATAAGTAAAAGAAATGAGAAATGAAGCTAGAAAGGAATGAATCATTGTAGCTTTGAGCAGGAGGAAAGTGATATGAAGAAAACAGTACATAGATTTGGAAAATCACAGTAATTTCTTTTTAAGGCTAAAAGGGGCATTAAAAAGTGCGACAGCACTTTACCACTATTGCAGGACCTGGCTCAGGCAGGACACTAACAACACTGGGGGACACACTGTTGGAAAGAGGACAGTCAGAGTCTCAAAGTTATCACTCCACAGATCACGTATTAATTACAAAAAAGATTCTGTACATGTTATAATCAAATCTAACTTTATGACCAAACTTAAAATCACCGACTAGGTGCTTAACTGTTATCATGTGCCTCTTCAAAGAGTGCAATGAGAATCCATCATTTAGGTAGTGTTTGTGTCAAAAATCTTTAAACCCAACCTTATCAGAAGGAGACAGACACTCACAAATATATGACTGAGGGACATGCTTCAATGCAACTAGTCTAAATACTATGTCAATGTCACAAAAGCACGGAAACTTTGTTCCAGGTTTTTAAAGGACACAACAGAGACACGGCAAACAAATGCACCAAAGATCCCCTGGAGGTTAAAAAAGTAGTTTTAAAGTACATTACTAGGACAACTGAGAAATCTGAAGGTGGACTGCACATTAAACAACAGTATTACATGAACGTTAAGTTTCCCAAGTGTGATAACTGTACTGGGATTATATAGAATTATGCCCTTTTCTTGAAAATGCTTTATAAGTATCAAAAATCTTATAACTCAAATTATAGAGCAAAAATATTCCCAATACATAAGTAGTAAGACTGTATGTGTGTGTACACATACAAATATGCAGGGGTGGGGAATGTGGCAGAAATTAACAATAGGTAAATCTGGGTGAAAGGTACAGACATACTCATTTATTTAATTCTTACAATTTTCCTGGTCTTAAAAAAATAGAACAGCTTTTAGATAATTTGGGTCAACTTCTACAGTTTATAGACGTGATAACTGAAAGCCAAGACATTTCATCCTGACGTGTTCGTTTAGCGAGGCTGCAGCAAGGGCACAACTGCGGCTCCTGTGGCTGCACCTGCCAGTCCCGATCTCAACCATCACATGACCGCGGCCTAACCACTGGGATGGATCCCAGCAGCGATGCCTGTCAGAGGTCGGGAACAGACTGCCGGGCAGGTGTTCCACACCATCTCAGCAGATGAGAGTGTGGCTTAGGGCCAACTGCAGGTACGGAAAGAAACGTAACAAGAATCATAAAGACAGTGATATAGTAGAAGGAGAAAAAGTAAATTATAATGCACAAATTGCAAAGATGGGAAAGTAAGAGTACTAGGGATAATTAAAAAAAACTGAATTAAAATGACCATTAGGATAAGAAATTTAGTTGAGACAATTTCAATTGTTATTTACCAAAATGTAAGCTAGAAGTACACTAGCATGTAAACTTCAAGAAAGTAGAAATTTTTGTAATTTTTGTCTCCTGATTTATCCTCAAGTAACCTGAACGATGACAAGTAAATAAACATTTTTCTCAACAAACTGACAGTTTATGAGGCATTCAGGTACAGATAGACAGGAAACAGAAATATGAAGCTTAAGAGAAAATATCAAGAGATATTTACTTTGTAGTCTTCAGGAAGTGGACGTAATCAAGGCCTCTGCCGTCTTCCTGTCAGTACACAGGGAGCTGTGCCAGAGGTCTGAGTATAAGCCCAATAATTCAGTTGTCTTTGTTCTTTTCCATCATACCCTTTACGTGTATCCTTACACGAAGCTCCACTGATAGGATGGGTGGCTATGGTCACATATCCTCTAGTACCATCAAAACACCATGATTATTCCTAACAGATTTCATTAGCTAGAGCAGGGAGTTCACGTGTGGTTCCTGGACCAGCATCATCCACAGAGCCCTGGAGCCTGTCAGAAATGCAAATTCCTAGGTTCCACCCTAGAGCTACTGAATCGGAAACTGCAGGGATGGCTCAGTCATCTGTGTTTTAAAAAGTCTTCCAAATGATTCTAATGCAGACTAAAGAACTAAGGACAAAATAAAGGTATTAAACTCTTAGGTGACAAAGTATCTACCTCGAAGTCTAAGCCATTCTTCTTGAGATGCAGCTAAAACTCTAAGACCCAATTAAATAAAAAGATATTTATAATAAAATCCAGTGTAACACATTAGTAGTAATTCATCATGTAGTAATCACACAGCAAAACCAGCCTACAACACAACACTTTTAAAAAGGCTTCTACTTACTTTAATGTTTCAGCAAGAAAGAAGCTCTGCTGCACATCGTCATGCGCAGGGGTGGAGGAATAAACATCCTTCACCCCGGAAAACCCACCGCTGACTCGGCAGTACTTCTCAATAGCCTGTGAAGGAGATCAGACAAAAGAATCAGTTCTACAAACTTCAGGTTTTATGGGCAAGATAAGGAACCACAGTCAAAAGTTCACAGAGCTCTCTTACGAGAATTTGACAGTTTAAGAGTAAAATGTATTATCAAATGGAAATAGTTCCCTCTGCAAAAATTGAATAAGGTATTCTATTTCCTGTGGAATTTCTCCCTCTTTAATCTTTTTAAGATATCTTACATTTTTCTAACTCAGGAGTCAAATTTAGGTTATTCACACTGGATTTAAGACCTGTATGGCACAATAAAGTCTCATTAATTCTGACAATTCAAGGGAGTCAATTTAAATTCAAATTTTTAAATGCAATTTTATAATTTCCAAGGATAAACAATAATCCAAACATGCTAAAAGAAAGCATTATTTGGGAGTTCTGCATAGTAACAGCAATGAGATACTATTTACTGCAAACATACAGTATGTCAGAGACTGTATTATCATAACTCTATGAGTTAGGCATCATAGGTGGTACCAACTGGCAGGAAGTACCCACCCACAAACCTACTGCAATAATGACAATATTAAGGGCTAACAATTATGAAGTACTGACCGTGCTGAAGGCTCTTCTAAGAGCTTTAATGCACTGCGATTTAATTTCCAATAACCCTCTGAGGTTGTGTTAGCTTTACTTTTTGGATGGAAAACTGAGTTTAAGTAATTTGCTCCACATTATTAACTACTGACTGAAAGTAAAAATTCTTAATTTATACCTCTTTTTGCATCTTTGAACATGTCTAAATAAAACATACTGAATCAAATGAAATCTATTCAAACCTTTTTAATTCAAAGCAACCAAAAATCCTGCTTGTGCAGGTATAATACATTCCAAAATTAAGCCTTTCATGAAAAGTTGAAAGCACAAGTGGACTCCATTTTCTTCCCGACCCCAAGATACTGCAAAATGAAAGTGCAGTCACTGTTCTCGCTACTATTCTTACTCTTTTGGTCTTTCTCCTTACTAACAAAAAGCTAATCAACAATCCTAGTGTTTTCTTAATCCAACTGTTCTTTTTTATATAGTTCCATTTTGATTACAGCTGGATTTTCAAGTCTTCTTAACCAAAGGGTTTGGTACTTTCCTCTATCTAAATATTGTAAACATATTTTAAATATTCGAGCTTTTAAATACCATGTTTTGCATAACAAGTATGTGTCTTTACCCACACAGAACTATCAGAACAGTTGAAGAATACTGAAACAGGAGCAGGGAGGCATGACTAGTCTTTAAGCCACTTAGAGTCACTTCTTGAAGGCTGATTTTAATGCATAATATACTCAGGTGTCTGGAAGTTCAAGTATGTACATGGAATAGCTAAAGCTACAGAGGACCTGAGATACCACTATTCCGTCTCAGCCCATCTTCTCTTTTCTTTCTTTGCACCCAACAGGTGAGGCCAGGGGTTGGGCAAGCAAGCAAATTCTAGTTAAGATATGAATCCTCCTCTGTCTCCACCTCTACCCCCTTTCTTATCACACATACTTTTGAAACTTGAATTTAAAGCATAACTATTTCAGTCCTGTTCTTTACACATGTGAGTTTGTGTGTGTCCATATGAGCTATTAAAAGCAAAATTTGAACTCCTATTAACTCAAATTTGGACAGATGTGGATTAAAGTTTGACTTTGTCAAACCTCTTTTTGATGGATAAGAGTTGGGCCATACATTAAGAAGGGGCACCAGGAAAAAAGGACCTTAGGAACAGGAGAAATTATCCTAGTATTTCTTAATGAGAAGAAGTTTCTGCCACCACCCCTCACCCCCAATTCAGATCTATCTCCCTTATTCCTTTAAAAAAGAATCATTAAATATTAGGGGATAGTCAAGTAGATTCACTGCAGGATTACTTTACCTATCTATTGCCCCTAGAGAAAACACTGAAATAACATCAGTAAGCCACTGCTACCACCAGAAGTGTCCTGCTCCCGAGCCACTGTGGCAACAGCTGGGCTATGTCCTCAACGGCAGCACACAGTTTCCCTCGCAGCTATGTTGCTGATTCTAGACCCAGGTGGAAAAGCAGCCTGTACACATGCTGCCTCAGCTCCTGTTCATGTAACCACCTTCCACTACCATTTTCTTACTATTGTTAAACTCCATAAGGACTGTCCAGGTCTGAACGACAAATGACCTGTAAGTGTCCTCACCTTAGTTCAAGTCTTTATTACAGTATGCCCAGATTACTGCAGGGGTCTCCAAAACCCACCCATTTGCAGATTACAACCAGATCCTTTTGTTTTGTTACCCACCCCCACCCCCAACTAAAAAGCCTTTAGTAGTTCCTCCCGCTTTGAGAAATCTTTAGTAGCCCTATAGTGGATCCTTAAAGTTGGAGAGGTTTGGTGGGTAGGAGGAGGTGGTGAGGAGAAAGAGCTGATGGGCTTTTACACAGGTCAAGGACTTTCCGTATCCATGAGAAACACCTACACAGTAACTGAGAGAAGTGTGTGTCTGTGTGTGTGCTATTCCTCAATCACTGAGTAAGGTACACATCCCTTTGTCTGGCACATAAGACCACCAACACAAGGACTTCAAACTCCTCTCTCTGGTTGCTGCTGTGAAACTCTTTTACATAAACTGGTCTACATACTGACCTAGAACATACCTCGTATGTTCTTGTCTGAGCAATTTACTGACATCACTTATCTCACCTAGAATTACCTCATTCTATCCGTACTATAGGCTTAAGTTAAATAACTTAAATATGAATATTCATCATTATTACTACTATTTATCATAATTAGTATATCTCAGTGAATAAAAAACTCCCTCACTCTCAGGAATAAGCTATACTTTCATCTGTGCAGATTAATGATTTTCTTTCTCCCCAGGTACTAAGAGCCATGCATTCTCGCAAAGCCAAGTATGATAAGAGTAAACCACTTGTTTTCTTTACTAACCATTAGAAGTTCCTCTTTACTAACCATTAGAAGTTCTAACCATTAGAAGTGTGTGCGTATATACACACACACACACACATACATATATATATATATGTATTATATACATATACATATTTGTAACAATTCACTGATCCTTCTCATGGTGATCTACTAAGAACTTACTTGGAACATAGGCTGAAATGAATAGGTAACCTACCCACGCTGTGAATCTAGGCGATTTTACAATTTTTTTTTGAGTTTGGGCATTAATAGGGAAGTATAGAAAGTCTATAATGACACAGAAAAAACTGCCTTTTAAATGACTGTAGTTATTCAATAAGAATGAGTGAAGTAGGAAAATCCTTCTAATGGAGAACTAAACTGGAGTCTAAGGTTTACTTTTGCTGCTTAAGAAACTTAAATTGATTAAGAGTCTTCCATCAGATAAACAGAGATAGCCCCAGAGTTACTGAACATGACTTGGTAACACAGAGGAGAGACACGCCACTGGAGAAGGACCTGACGTTGCACTCTCGCCCAGGAAATGGAAAACTGGTTTATTTACCAGAGTTGCTTCCCAGCCCCACTGCCTATATCTCGGATCATGGGTGAATCGCCACAGGTACCAATAGGTCTCGATGACTTCGGGACGGAGGATGTAATACTTCTCAGCCTGCCGGACTGCCACTGCCTCTACTGCGCCGTCGAACTTGAAGGATTCGGGACCCAGCTTTAATGCTGTAACAGGACAAAAGAAATAAATGAGCACAACCAACCACTGGGTGTGTATGTCAGAGCTTTTTTCTCCCCTGAAGGAATGGGGATGAAGTAAAGTTATTTTTGTTGTTTATTTTTACTGTTGTTGTTTTGCAAAAATCAGTGATTTTTAAAAATCCACATTTGGCTTTCTTATGGTAGACATAAATATTCCTCTTATTCTGACATAAAATCTCTCTCATAAATAATGTACATCAACATACTGCTAAATCTAACTGTACTGACAAGAGCCTCACTGTCTGGAAACAAATGCAAAGACAAGACAGAAGCACATTGCATATTCCATTCTGGTCCAAAATAAAATGAGACACATAGCTGTCCTGTGCAGAATTATTTTTTAAAAAGTCAAGACAATTTTAAAGTCCTTTTAATATAACATACACATAGGAAAACATTTTAGAGTTCAAGTTTTTTTTTCCCTGTGATAACATTTTAGAGCTCAGAGCTTAGACCTTGAATTAGATTTAGTTGTAGAATATATATCTTTTTTAAAAAGCATGTTATATAGTACATAAAAATACTATAGTATATAGTATTTTCAAGCATGTTATATAGTATATAGTATATATAAAATGCAAAAAATATTTAAAAACTCAAATCATTTTTTTAAATAAACTCACTCTCCTACAGCCTCAAAATATGCAGCAATATAGAGCTGAAATTGTCAATCATTAAGAAATTTCACCAGTAATTTGCCCATTTATTCCTGAAGTTAGGAATAACCAACTAATTATCAATGTTTTGTTAGAAAAATTCTCTCCAGTTTGAATAAAACATAGCCATATATATATATATATATATATATATATATATATATATATATATATATATATATGCTTCCACATTGCATACTACTCCTTAAATGATTCGATTCAGGCTGGAATATAGCACTACAGGAAAAGCTTTTTAAGACCTCCTTTCTAATCACACCAGCACCCTAAACCTGGGTGATACTGGGTGATAAAGCCAGGTTGCATCGGGATGCTGAAGGTGCACACCATTACCACTCCCAGAAGCCATCTTTCTTTCTTTTTACTAGGCTGCACTGGTGGCAAATAGTTTCAAGGTTTCTCACCTCTTTTATGACAATATTGTACATTTTTATATTTTCTTAGAAATTAAAAGGCAGTAGAAGAACTGTAACGCTGGTAGGCCATAAACAAGATCACGGCCAAGTTGTTGGCATGACATGTGTTGCCGCGGACAAATTTCAGCATTACGGGGGTGATGCCATAAGCTCCAAATAATCACAACAAAGGAGGTGCAAATAAGGCCTTTCCTGCCATCCCCCACCCCCACCAAATATAAAACAAAAACATTGTAGAGATGGCAGACAGTTCGATTAAAAGCAAACCACGCAATCCAGAAGAGTTAATAACCAGTTTGTCTTCTGCTAAGTCTTAGAGAGCTAAAGCAGAACTCAAGCAGGGGTTTTTAACTGGAGGGTCACAAACTCTATAAGCTTTGGAAGAGAGAAATAGATTTGGGCCCAAGAAGCCTCTGAAATTTTATGCAAACTTCATGTGTGTACAAAAAGCACTAACCAGTTCCTCAATGAGATTTGAAATTAGGAATAACCAACAAATTACCAATATCTCCTAAGAAAACTTCTATCCAGCTACTGAAGATCTGACAATCAATATTATTTGGCATTTAATAAATGCTTTTAGAATGATGATAAAAGTCAAACACTGTAAGTACTATATGATGGTAATCCAATAAAAAAAGGTCAGTTATTTTGTCTGGATTTCCTACATGTTTTCTTTAGACTAAGCGTGCTAAGAAGTGATCACATGGAATTTTCAAGTGTTATTAAGACTAAGTTTAAATTAGATAACTTCTGCAATTACAATGATAATAGCATCTGAACTGAAGCAGAAACTGATAGTATGGAACTAATATTTTAAACTTCTCACTAAAAAATTGTGTTTTATGTATTGGCCACTCAAAACTTAACAAATAAAGCATACAAAAAAGAGAACACAAGTGTCCTGTGAGGGGTTGGTGAGTAAAAACTGTATACGCTATCACACCCATTAATTTGGCCAAATCATTGGTCTCGTGTTTCTGAAGGCATGATTCTTAGGTGCTCTTCTGTTTAAGAAATGTAAAAATAATTTCATTTAGTTTCTATTTCCTGTCTTAAATTTTCCACTTACATCTGGTATTTTATTTCTAAAAGTAAAATAACTGATCCAACAAGTAAAAATTAAGGCAAAACCATAAATAATTTAGTGGCTGGAAAAAAAGAACTCCAGAGGATACAAAAATCATATGATATAGGTAAAGAGACATGAACAAATAAAAAAATTTAAGTAAAATATCAAATGTGATTAAAGGTCAGTAGTAAGATAACAGAAGTTTAAAGAAGGCACAGATTAGTTTATGAAGTCATGGGGAATGCAATTCATATGAGAACTCCAAGATACGCAGGACCCATATACAGAGAAAAAGAAGTATACTCCAGTCAACAAAAGAAATTCAACAACAGAAAAACGAACAAGGGATATTGTGGGACAGGCAATCTGACTACAGTTTGAAAGGGCTAATATGAGGGGAAGAACTTAAACTATTTTCCTATATCCTTCCCTCTAAGGAACAAACAAGTTGTGGGAACTCCTGTAACTTTTTTTTTAATCCTCACCCAAGGACATTTTTTTCAGAGAGAGGGTGGGAAAGAGAGAAACATCGATGACAGAGAGAAGCATCGACTAGTTTCCTCTCATAGGCACCCGGACCAGGGATCAAACCCACAATCTAGGTTAACATGCCCTGGCCAGAAATTGAACTCACAACCTTCTAGCTATGGGACAAAGCTCCCACCAACTAAGCCATCCTGACCAGGGCTGGAAACTCTTAAAATACATTCAGTATTCCATGTTCAATGGATCTTCTGTCCATTGGATATATTATATGCCACTAAACAGATTACATTCCCCCACCGCCAAATGTGGTAGCACATGGTCTAGAGAAGGCTTTGCCCAATTTCAATATGAAATAAATCAAATTATATAATACTCACTATTTTAGTGATGCTTAGAAATTTTAATCCAGAAACCTAGGAAAAGAAAGTACTATATTTCGGAAGTCCTGGTACCAGTTTTGCATTATAACTCAGAATATACTGAAACAACATACCAATCTAGCTTCCTCTAGGACTGTGATAGTATGAAACTAACATGAAGTTACTGTTCAGTTTCATGAACAGACTCAGCAATGTTTTCTACAAACACAGCTAAACATTAAGCAGTAGGCCATGTTCATCGATAAGGTAGAATATATGAAGATTACCAAATTTTGAGTTAATGTTAACTCTAACCAACAACAAACAAAAGCAAAACTCAAGGGCAACAATTGTCCTATGAATTTAGCTGGAACAACTGGTAAGAAGTAGATGGATATTTTTAAATGAGGTGGCCAAAAATTATAGCACAGCCATAAAAAAAAAACCCACAGCAGAAGATACAATGAGCTGGTAGGAAATAAGCAAAACTAGGACCGTACTTTTTCATTAAAGCATCTCAGTTGAGGTTGAAGATAAGCACAAAGCAGTGAAAAGATGTGAAATACAGCACACAATCAGACAGCAATCTTTTGCAGCACCCTTGCAATGTGAAGATGACCATCAGAACAGGCATGACAGCAACAATCACAGACAGCATGTTTTTAAAAAGTCATTTGTATTCACATTATGAAGAAGTCAGGGTAGGTACTATTATTCCAATTTTTTTGCAGATGGAGCAACTGAGGCTTAGGAAGTTCAAATGATTTGCCTAAGGCTCACAGATAGTAAACAGTGCAACAAGGGAATTTTGAATCCCAGTGCACATGTTCTTTCCATATTCACAGTGTTTCCTATAAGCCTCAGCAATGTCCTGAAATGTGAAAATGAGAAATACAGAGAATTCTTCCATAACTCTGGCATTCTATGAATTTTTCAAAGGCAGAAATATATCTGGTTCATACATTAACCCATCAGCGTCCAGCATAATGCTTGCCATATAATAGGTGCTCCATGTTTAATGGAGTGAACGATTAATGACAGTAGCTATGGAATATCATATCTTTAACATGTCTGCTGTATTATGCACTCTTGCTATTTTACAGCTGTTATTTGATGTGTGATCAAAATCTGCATAGCAACGAGTCTTATTATGGGTCTTAACACAAACACTAAATATCCATTCTGTTCTCAATGTCTTAACTAATTTGACCTGTTTTTAAGTAAATATTTAATACTCTGTACCATTAACATGATAACATAATTTAGCTTGTATTTGTGACTCAGATCACTGATTTTACATGTATTACACACCAGCACTTAAGCTACCCTAAAATAAGATCTGCTTCAATGTCCTTCTGACTTAGTTATATTGTGTTAAGAAATGGAATCACTGATTTAGTTACTGAGGGAAATAAAGGGTCAATTTCACCACAAATTCAATTCCTTATTATATAAAAAGAACTTGACAGATTTTGAACCAGAATAAATTTTATGCCAATCGTATTTGTGTCATGGTACCTAATGATAAATTAACCCTAAAACGGAAGTTTAGTCATTTAATATATGCAATAATTCAACTCCTGAAATCACAAAGAGAAATCACTAGTTTTTAGTCTTTCAGGCAACTTATTCTCCATTATTTCACATAGAAACATATATTTTTAAAGCCACAGAAAACCTGAAGACAGTCTAGACAAGTTTTTCTCAACCCTATTTTCAGGCTTTTTAAAAACCTAATTGCCTTCTCTCTCCATAAGATTTTAATAATACATACCTATAAACTGTATATATATCTATGCTTTGTACATAAAAATGTATTTTCACCCCCAAGAACCAATTATTGTCACCATTAAGAATCATCTCATTTTCCAAGTAAGGTCACTGAAGCCAAGAAATATTACCTATCTGCCCAGTACAAGGCCGCAGGATCTTCACAGTTAAAGGCACCAGCAGCCCTGGCCGGCGTGGCTAAGTTGGCTGAGCACTGTCCACGAAGCCAAAGGCAGCTGGTTCAGTTCCTGGTTGGGGCACATGCCTGTATTACGGGCCTAGCCCCTGTATGGGTCATGTGCGAGAGGCAATGATGATGTTTCTTTCATACGTTGATGTTTCTCTTCCTCTCTTTCCCCTACTTTCCCCCCTAAATAAACAAAATCTTAAAAAAATAAATAAAGGCACCAACAACTCAAAAATTATTGGTGAAATGACTATGGAAAACTACAGTAACTAGTAGTTATCTAGATACTACTAGTCACCTAGACACCAATTATATATTCAATATAACTACTAATATTTTCTTACTTTAATAAGAGGATAGGCAAGGCATTAACCTAAATCTATCTTGTGTCCTTTTAAGGAACTGTTTTATAAAAACTGAAATAAATGGCTAAATGGTTCTTACTACATTGACATAAAGACTGCTCTCCCATATATGCCCAAATGTCCTGCCTCTTCGTTCTTAAGTTCTTCAAAACCTTTATTAACGAAACAGTAGCAGAATTCAGAAATAATAAAATGAAAATAATGCAGGAACACATGTCCAGAATTAAAATTCAAGTTCTTAAGAAAATAATTTACTGTATTAGAGGAAACTATTTTGAAATAAAAATGCCTATATATTTTCCTTCTGATTCCTGAACATATTTCTAATTAGTAAGTTATTTTGGGCTAAGTGATTAGCATTATTAATATGCTTACCAGTTCTGTCATATGACTCATGACATGTGCGTGCGATTTCCGCCCCTAGCTCTAAGTAATGACCAGCTTTGTCCCTGGAACCATCTGCTCCAAGTGCAAACATTCCCCCTGCAAAGCAGGCCAAATGCCCCATCTTCTTTTCCAGGTGCCCATTCTTCCATTCTCCAATAAAGGTAAGGCCTCCACGGGACTTTTTTATAAGATGTTTTTCTATAGCCTACAAGAAAGAGTAGGTATTCAAAATTTCAGAGGTGAAATGTTAGTGTTCAAACTTACTGCATCTTCCTGATGATAAAATCTTGGTAATATGATATTCCACAGAGCAGTAACTTTCCTAAACTGGAAGGCTTAATTTGCAATAACTAAGTTTTGAATGACTAATCAAGTTGCATAAATTTGAACAAATCAGTACGATAACAAAACAAGGTGGACAAGGGGAAACTAGCTTAAAGATCGCTTTCCTTCTTGAGCTAAAAAAATTCATAATAATCTATCAACTGAGATCATGATGACAAGTTGGAACCTGAAGACTGCCAATTTATTTTCTATTCCATACATCAAAAACAGAAAGAGTACCTAAGCTAATCAGAAAATTTTAATTTTGATTAGTTCAAATGGCTTCTTCTTTTTTCATGTAACTATACCTTCTCTCAAAGTACTTTAAAAGGGCACCATTAGGTAAGACACCTTGTATGTCATTAAAGCTTATGAAACTAGCCGAAGGTCAAACTGAACCCCTCAGCCCCTCATTTCACAGCTGAAGCCTCTGGATGCTGTGCTGTGCTTCAGACAGGCCATTCGAAAGGTACACCCTCCTGCAATGTCAGCTTTACTCAAGAGATGTGAGGACGGCAAGAAAAGTATTTCATTTTAGTCAGTGTCAGCCTGTTTTCAACTTCAGTGTCTTTGGTTATATTTTGCTTGTTTGTTTGTTTTGTTGATTAGGTTTTTAAGTTGAATACTACACCAAGTAGAATCCAACAATTACAATGAATTTTAAAAATGAGATTTTTAAGAGCTTTGTTTTTCGGATTATGTTCTCACACTTTGTTGACAGGGTATATGTATTCTCTACCTCTAGAGATAGTTCAGGTTTTACAGAAAAGTTTAGAAACTGTAAGAATTCAGTTCTCTTTGATGGAAATTAAATGATTAGAGATTATACTTTTTTGACAATAAAAAGGAAATAGAATTAACCCACATTTTTATGATGGGTTGTTCTCTGACAAGCTCAGTAACAATCAGCCTTGGACAAATTTATTCTATATTCTTTATGATAATGTTTTACAGAACTAGAAGGACTATGCCTCTGTCATCATTTTATATGCCACAGGGCCTGTAAGTGTAATATGAACTCGATAAATGTTTCATTAATGCCATCTTACAAGTAAATGATAAATAACTGTATTTTACCTGGTGGGGAAATGAGGAGAGGTTAATAAGCAAACTAAGGAACAACTGGACTGTGAACGTTTACTGCTGTGACTTTCTTTTGACCACAGAGCTCTGCAGCACACGTGAAAGCCTGGGCGTCCTGCACGCGGGGCACTGCCTCTGATCTCTGTGGACCTCACAGCCTCTAGCGCTGGTGTGCTCTCCACATGGGGAGCACTCGATAAATGCCTACAGAGTGAGAGACTAGCTGGATCCTACACCACTGTATATTCTTGTCATTTTGTTGTTTTTGTTCATTACAACATAAATCTTACTGTGTTACAATGGAAAGATATCAAACGTAGCCACATGGATCTACTAGGATTAAAGCAGAAAGTAGGTAAAGATAGGGCTTTTTGCCCAGCGATTCACTTACAGACCCTGAAAATTTCTTGCAAGGCTTTCTCCTCTCTCTAAAAAATGGCAAATGTCTGAGAGTTCAACTTATATAAAATGCCAAACTGCTGAATTGTAGTTAAGAGTAATATTATTTCCCTTCTATTAAGTGCTCAATAAATCTTCACAAATATTGATATCACTTCCTTAATCCAAAGGAATCTTTAAAAAGATATATATTTATCTTAATTATTTTAAAATTAATGACTAAATATAAACTTGGTCAGAATATAAAACCTGTAACTAAGCATAATCGTAAAAAGGAGCTAAGATGTAGAATATTAAATATATTATTTTTAAAATATTAAAGTATGATTATTTATATTTAAATATGAAATACAGATATAATTTAAAAACTATATTTTAAATATATTTACAATATTAATGAATATATTTAACACTTTAAATATATTTGTTCATTTATCAAATACTTACTGAATCACCCATTGTTTCAGGTATTGTAAAAGGTGCTGAGACACTGATAAACAATTAGTCTGCCTTCAAGGAACCCATCCATAGCCTACCGGGAAATGACTAAGGGCTATATTTAATACTATGATTCTAAGAATATTACGCTCTTCCTAGATAATGACTTTCCTTAGATCGTAAAAGTTTCTAGGCTTAAAAGTTTAATAACAATAAAACTTTCAAAGTATAAGACTTCATAAAGAATTTTGGAAGCCACATACCAAAATGGAGATTTCTTAACACACATTAATTTAGTTCAATCCCTTAGTTAACAGAGTCCCTCAAGAAATATTTATCTAATGCCTCAATGGGCCAAGCAGTAGATGCCACATATTAGTTCAATTCCTGTGCGTTTTTGTAAACAACTATAGAAAATTGGTTGCCTAAAAGGTAAAGATATAAAACGGGTAATAAGATCCTTGGTTTAATTTAAAGACAAACAATAACTATAACTCAATACTCATCATATTGATCAGTATAACTGAATACTGATCAATACTGTAGTCAGAATGGTATATACTTTGTAGTATATACAAAATATATGACTTTACAAAAGTAATTAAAATCATTAAAAAGATACATTTTTACTAGATCAGAAAGCAAGTAACTTATCAAATGTTTAACATACTTTTCTCTTTCACAGTTTTTGCTCGGAAATACCACGTGTAAGTGTTTCTAAGAAAGAAACGTGTCCCAATTTTAGAGTGCTGAACACTGTGGCATGAGGTCATACAGACATGGTACAGTGCGGTCAAGAGTGTTCGGCTCCAGGCTCCGTCACTTCCTAGCTCTGTGAGCTCCGTAAGGTTGGGGTGCCCCAAGGTCCTCGCGTGCAGAGTGGTGGGGGGATTAAACTACTTCACCCATGTTAAAGCGGTGAGAAGAGCGTCTGGCACTTGGAAAGCACTATATATGTGTTTTACCCTTATTATTTACCCAAAGGCTCTCAACATGCAGCTTCAATGAGTCATTTGAAAGAAAAAATGTTAATGGAAATGCATGTAAAGTCAGAAGTTTTTCCTGTCTCTGTAGACAATAACTAAAATTAATTAAACGTTTATACATAAATATGCTACACTATATTCTTTCTTCAACAATTTCTTTAAAATGCCACAATAAAGGAAAACAACCTGACTTTTACATTAAAATACTAAGAAACTCTACAACAAATGCATATAATAAAACGCACATAAGGTGTTCATCTGTCACTATCAAATACATTGGATACTCGATATGTTAAATGGGTGAATGTCCTTGATCGTATTACCTCAATAGCATCATCATACATTTTTCTTGCCTCATGGTCTGTTTTATCTGACATCAACCATGCTTTCAGTAAGTATTCATAAAAACTGTCCCCCAGCCCGCCAACTGATGTATGATCTGTAACAAAAAAGAGAAGGACGGAGGTGGAGGAAAGAGAAGACAGAAGACAAGTAAGCAATGTTTTTCAATTATAATGACAATAATGCAGGTTAAAGTGAAAAATCACACTGACAGCTCTAGTTCTGACATACTCCAAATTCAGTCCAGTCTCTTCTACACATGTACCCAATTTTCCAGAAATCTTTTCCGGCTGGATATGGGACAGTATTTCACATATTTAGTAGCCTTTTTCTTCCATCACTAGTTTGCATATTGTCACACATCCAAATGTTTCCAGAATCAAAAATAATTACCTTTCATATATTGATGGCTTTAACTATATAAGCTAAGACTAAATATGAGATATACTTAAATCTGATGTTAACCAAAAAGAGCTAATTTTTCTATAGAATGATGAATAGTGATTTCAGTGCTATAAAATAAATCTACAAATATAAAAAGCTCGAGAATTTCTTTGTACTATCACTGCCATAATATGGTAAGTTGTTGAATTAAAACTCTTGACTCCTATTTATACAGCTCTTAGTACATACTTGTTAGTCCTAGGTATATTCTTATAGATGGGATACCATCTACACTTTTAACATTATCCAATTTAACAACATTAACTCCCAAGGCAACACTTTATCCTTGACTTTCCATAAACCCTGCCCTACATCCTCGAACTTTATTTCAGAACTCACATCATCCCCGAATGAAGAGAAAAATATCACATCTCTGATAACCCTTCAATCACTGGTCTTACAAATTAGTGAGGGAGGAATGGACTACTCAGTGGTTTATGGGAACAACAGTGTATCTGTTCTAGGGAAAATACCTATTAATATTTATATCTGTAGCTTACAAAAATTAATTTGTGGTAGATTAATGGTTCAAAAGTAAACACAAAACTTAAGTATACAAGCCCTGGCTTGGTGTGGCTCAGTGGACTGAGTGCTGGCCTGTGAGCCAAAGGGTCACTGGTTTGATTCCCAGTCAGGGCACATGCCTGGGTTGCAGGCCAGGTCCCCAGTAGGGGGCGTGCATGAGGCAACCACACATTGATATTTCTCTCCCTCTCTTTCTCCCTCCCTAAAAACAAATAAATAAAATCTTAAAAAAAAAAAACACTTAAGTATACCAGAAGAAAATGTAAGAAAACATCTGTTCTTCCTAAGCAGATGAACTTCTTAAAATACAAAATGAAGACTCCATAAAGAAAAAGATTTATTGTGTCATATGGTAGACACAAGCTGCCATAAATGAATCTGTAAGACAAGAAAAAGACCTGCAACATTTATAGAAATAAGGGTTCATGTCCTACAACAAAGAACTCTGAAAACTAAGAAAAACTGACACAGGGCACATACAATTAACAAAAAAAGAAATAAAAATTTATAATTAACCTAAGAAAGGAAGCTCAACTACACTAATGATCTGAAAACAGCAAACCAAAACAATGATATTCCATTTCTGTCTATACAGTGGACAAGCTATTTTTTAATCTTCACCCAAGGACACTTTTTTCCCCATTGCTTTTAGAGAGAGAAATGGGACAGAGAGAGGGAAGCATTGATTAGTTGCCTTTCACGCACGCCATGACCAGGGACCAAACTCACAACTAAGGCACGTGTCCTGCTGAGAATCAAAGCCAACCAACAACACCCAACCAACTGAGCCACACTGGCCAGGGCTAATTGGCAAACATTTTAAAAGACTGATAATATCAGATGATCACTTAGTAGGTTATATAATATCTAATCACTGAGGTGTACACCTGAAACTAATACATCAACTATAATTAAAAAATAAAAAACATTTAAATAAAAAAATCACATATTTCCATGCCTTTAAAAAAATAAAATAAACACGTTAACTTTATTTTTAAGTCCCTAAAGAAAAAAGATTGGCAACAATGTTGGTAAGGTTATGGTTCACAGTTGCTGGAATTGGAGTGCAATTTTATAGTAACTATCAAAATTTAACCTAGGTTTTCTAGTTCTTCAATTATCCTATAATAATACTTGCATAAATATACAAACACAGATCTAAAGGCATCACAGCACTATTTGCATTAGTAAAATAATAAGATACCTCATCTATCTAAGGAAGTGGCCAAATAAATTATGTATAAATGTACTCTAGACAACCATGAAATCATTAAAGAGAATCAGGTGGGTCTGTAACCTGATATTGGAGGATATGTATTAAATGTTGTTGAGTGGGTAGAAAAAAGCAAGTTTCAGACCAACACAGTTTGATACCATTCAAAATTTATATGTTTAAAGAACGTGATTATACACACAGAAATGGTTTGAAAGACAACTGTCAACAGTCATTACTTCTAAGAAAGGAGCCCTTGCATTTTTATTGTATATACTTATCTTTTTATCATAATACATGTAACTTATATAATTAGGTCATCATTTGTTATAAAAATAATAATTAGGGAAACAGTGCTCTCACTCACTTTAGGCAGTATGTCTGCCAATACTCTAAAATTCACTTGTACTTCAAACAACCTGCATCTCAAATGCTCTTATTTCTTAACTTTTTTCTTTAACCATAAATATACATTTAGATGATCTTTACATATGTATATAGCCCAAAACAAGATAAAAATATATATAGCATTTCCATCATCCCAAAAGTTTTCCATATTTGGCCCTCGCGATCAATACTTAACCTCCCAAAATAACCATTTTTCTGACTGCCATCACCATAGATTAGTTTTGCCAAGTTCATATATAAACTTACATAAATGGCCATCACATAAAAGATCAATTTACTCTCAACTGTGATTTGTTGCTTTAACAATCTTCTCCACTGGTTTCCATCTACCTATTCAGAAGGAGGTACCTCTGCTTATTCTGACATCCTGCATCTCCTAACATTAAGTGACTGGGTTCACTCAGAGGAATAGAAGACAGAGTTACGTGATCCCTCATTCTAACCCTCAACCTGCGTGCGCGTGCGCGCGCACACACACACCTCCCACAATTAGATTTCTAATAGTGTTCAATACTCACCATACTCATGTTTAAGAATTTTATGATGGTAATATACGATGATGGGCTTAAAGGATAAATTACATTTAGATGCTAAATTAATTCTGACAGACTTAAACATTTTATAATTATAAAAATTAAAAAAAGAACATACTTATAAAACAAAACAGTATGGACTAGACAAGGAAAGTCCCTCATACTTAACAGGCATTTGGGACAGAGTAAGGATTAGGGGTGCCTACTGGGCACACTACTTGGTAATGAAAAAAGGGCAGTGGTTTTATATTTAGAGAGCAACCATTTTCCAACAGCTATATCAAAACAACTATGCCCAAATACCCTCATCAATACTGCTACCTCGGTTTTGTGGTTATGGCAAAATGGCCTGGCTCAGTCAGGGAATGATGCTATCGCTATTTGACCAGCTGCCTGGTCTTTTCATAGACTTCAACTGTTTAAAATCCTGGGGTGTTTTAGTTGTCTTCATATGTTAACCCTGACTTTCTGGTATAGCTTTCAGTTTTTTCCCTGGATTTTTTAGTTGCCTTCCTATTGTCTCCCATCCTTTTTTTTTTTTTAATCATTCTTATTGTTTCCTAGCCTCTCAGTCATGTTGCCTAGACTTCCACTGAGCCACCCCTGACCTCCTCATTCCCCTAGAGGCCTTCCTCCCAATCTTATTTCCTAAGCACACTGCACAAGCTATCATCTTGAGACTTTCCTTGCTTTCCTGAGTTAGACCCATCACTTCCTCAAGCCTATGTCTTGGTTTACACCTGTTTTACTGATTCTTATTCTCATATAATTTCCCAAGAAAAAGTATGTGGACTGTAACCATGCCATCCAAAAATGTCTTTATTATGCTCCCCTCTCACTTTTATTTTATATAGGTATCATATTCAAGGTTGGAAATCATCCCTCTCGGAGCTTCTTGAAGGTGCTCTCCTACACCGTAACACCGAGTACACCACCGGGGAGAAATCTGATGTTATTTTACAGGCTCAGTGTGTTCCCAATCTCTCTTCCTCTCACTCAACTGGCCCTTCTGAGTTAAACCTTTATTTTGGGATTGGTTAGGTTTTTTTCTACATTCACTGTGCTGAGCACTTTTCGAAGTTAAAATTGGTATTCTTCAGCTCTGGGGAAATGCTCTTACGTCACTGCTTTATTTTCTCCACTGCACTTACTCGGTTCTCCCTTCTAAACTCAAACTAGTTCTCTCGTACTAGTTGGAAAATGCACCTCTTGGACTGACTGTATTATTCTTTTCTCTCAAATTTAGCCTCTTAGTCATCTTTCTCTATATTCTGGAGCTTTTTAAATAAATCGATTCTACCTTTTAGTCCTCTCACTGAAGCTTTAATGTCAGCAATCATACTTTAATCTCTGGGCTCTTTTCGTTCTCTAATTGCTTCTTTTTCACAGTATCCTATTCCTGTTTTAGGAACATATTATCTTTCTAAAGTTCGTAGAGTGAAAGAGAGGATTAAAAATGTTTATTTATAAAACTGACTCAATTTCCTCCGGGATCCCCTTTCTGAATTTAAATGTTTTTGTTGTGATATTTAATACTCATACAGAAAAATGTGTAATATATAAGTGTTATGCTCATTACACAGTATTTGTATATTCTCTGCTCAGAATAATGCCAGTACCCTAAAAACCTTTCACGTACCCTTTCTCAATCACAATTCCCACCTCCTAAAGGTAACCAATATCTTGACTTTTTGGGTAATCACTTTGATTTTCATTTAAACTCTACTTTTTTTTAGAAGATTTTATTTATTTATTTATCTTTAGAGGGGAAGAGGAGAAAGGGAGAGAACTATCAATGTATGGTTGCCTCTCATCCATCCCCTGCTGGGAACTGGCCTGCAACCCAGGCATGTGCCCTGACTGGGAATTGAACCTTGATCCTTTGGTTCACAGGCCTGCACTCAATCCACTGAGCTACACCAGCCAGGGCTCACTTTGATTTTTTTATATGGTTATCATCTAATACACTCTCCC